TCACTTGCCTCACCACTCTCTCTCACCCTACTCCACTTGGATCGCACCCTGAATACACCCACGTCGTTCCTCCGTTGGTTTCCGCGGCTATGGCTGCAACAACCTTGTGACCCGAGCTATGGTAACCAGACGTCTTCCTCCCCGTCGGGCACTCGCTCCTACTCCAGTGCCCACCTTCCGTCCACGTCGCACTCTCACACAAGCACACTATAAATAGAGTAATCAGAAAAAAAAAACAAATGAGCAGTTCATACGGTGACTCAAACGGTCATGATTCATGGGGAAAAAACAAAATTCAGTGCTATTGTTTATATTGTATAGCTCATGAGAACTTATCTATGAATGTAATCACACATTTTGTTAAAGCGATTGAAAATGTCAAACCTTTTTTTTTTTTTTTTTTTTTTTTTGAAAAAACGCACCCGTCAGTGCTAGCGGTGCTGGTACGAGCAGACACCGCTAGCACCTGGGAGGGGCTCCATCTATTGGTGGGGAGCAGCACCTGCTGGAAACCAGGTCCATCGTCCCTTACATAGACAAGATTCAATCACATCAGAAAAGTGTGGTACGATCTTGCCAGCATTGATTACCCTGGGGTCCAGGGGATTGACTGAGCAGGAGGTTGGGAGGGGGGGGGGCTCTTCACCCTGCACCTGGCGCCAGATATCTGCTCTCTCTTCCTGGCTCCCCCGACTTCCAAGTTCTGAAAAGCAACACTGTTGGGCGGGTCCACCGTCCCGTCCAGTTCCCTTACCAAGTGTCTGAGCTATTGGCGGGGGGCATCACCTGCTGGAAACCGGGTCCAGCGTCCCTTACATAGACAAAATTCAAAACACATCGCAGCACCTACCACATTTGGATTAGCACTCTAGTACGGTAGTACCCCCCCTTCTGCCTCTCCCACCTGTGTTCAACTACTCACTTTTTTTCAAAGACAACCTCACCAGTGCTAGAGGTGCTGGTAAGAGCAGACACCGCTAGCACCGGGGGGGSTCCATCTATTGGTGGGGAGCTTCCCATATACATAGTGAAAATGCAGCCTGAAGTCAAGAAAACTCTGTCAGCATTGATTGCTCTGGGGTCCAGAGGATTAACTGAGCAGGTTGTATCGGGCCGGGAGCCTCTTCGCCCTACGCCAGGCGCCAGATATGTGCAGCTGCCAACTGGTTCCCTGCTCCGAGAGAGGGGCTGATGCTGGCGCCCCTGCGTCCATCAGGCCTGCTTACTCCGCCCCATACCACTGCATGTCCACTACCGCCAACTAATGGGGTGGAAAGGGGTCGGGAAAATTCGATGGTGGCCGTAACGGAACCCCTTGGCCCACCGTTGTCCAGTCTCTGAAACAGATCTGATAGTCTTTAGTGATCAGCTCCCGGTTGCCGTCGTGGTTGCCTGCTTCGTTTCTCCGAGTTTGGCCTCCATCCCACTTGATGAAAGCGATTCGGCCTCCGTCCGCGCCGCCCAGCCAGTCCCCTGAAAATTGTCAGATTTTTTGTTCTATTTCCTTCTTGTTTGGCATAGATCCAGCAAACTTTTGACCTTCTGCCATTGCGTCATAAGTTCTTGATGTATGAATTGTTTGATCATGTCTGTCATTTCCTCCCCGGCTATGCAGACTCCCTCTATGACATGTATACAACGTGTCCTCCAGATCGCCCACATAACCGCTCTCCTTCCTATTTTAAACATGTTCTCTTCAAAGGTACTGGATGCAGGGGAGGTCCGTGTCTCACACAAGATCGTCCTCCAGTCCCATGGCCAGGTTGTACCGGTGTCCAGCAGCCTCCAAATCCTGTCCCACCATCACCATGTAAGAACAGATCCCGGACATTGCAAGAAAATGTGTTCTATGGTTTCCGTGATGTTTCGGGATGCTGCGTGACACGATTTACACCACGGGAGTGCCAGTCCTTTTTGTTCCAGGTAGGTGCGGTCTATTAGCCAGTCATTGGTGGGGAGGCAGTGGTGCTCTATCTGCCACTGCAGTGAGGCTAGCTTCGCTGGTTTGGCCCTTGTGAGGGAGAACCACCGAATGGGGCGGATGGCATCAACCCCGACATTCAGATGGGATCTCCACCGGGTTTTTACGATATCTTTCAAGTTCACCTTAGGGCGCAATAAGCGATAGGTGGCCTTCACTGTCAGGCTGTAGAGCTTCACGTTCTGTGTCTTTGGGGTTCTGCGCGCGGGGGGCCACTGGCACTCCTCCGGGTCAAAGGGGAGATCCGCAATGCAGGTCCCCGGCTGGTATACTATGCAAGCCTCCTTATCCAGTAGCACCCGGATCCTGTACAGATCAGTGTTCCAATACCATCTCGTCACGTCCGGGGTATATTTGGTTAGTTTGTTGTCATTTTCTTTGTGGAAGAGATTAATCAGTGTTTCCTCTGTGTGCGTTGTTACTACATTTCCCACACTCTCTGGGTCGCCGGGGACCGCCACCCAGTCCCCGTTTGTCAGCTCTGGTCCCTTTCGCAGAATGCGCACCCAATCCAGGGGAATCGCAAAGATCAGACTCTCCAGGTTGCCTTCTATATTATGACAATGCTTCAGCAACGTCCTCATCTGTGACTCTGTCTTCCAGCCTTTGTTCTCTGAGTCCCAGATGTCCTTAATTCTAGTTATGCCCCTTTTGACCCAACTGTTCCACGGGGGGTCGGAGCTGCGATAGACCCTCCCTTGTCGGTTCGTGATATTTCTGTTCCCGAACAGGGGTTGTCGAGCCACCTCCTCCCATCTGGTTGGCCCAATTCTATTTGGCAACGGTAGTTGGCGCCAGGCTTTCATGCAGCGGATCCAAAAATCGTCCTTTACGAGGTCGCTGCGGACTGTATCCCGGTTCGGGTCCTGGCTCGCACGGGAGCGTCGAGGCAAGGACTGAAAGCGGTCTTCCAGCCAAGATAGGGGGTTTACTGTTCGAGGGGCTTGTGGAGCGAGCCGGACGATCTGTTCCAGTGCCAGGGCATGCCAAGGGAGGTCGTGTGTGAACACCAATCTCTTGATTCACTGCACCATTAGTGATGTGACCTGGGTGCCCGGGTCCAAAATACCCAAGCCTCCTCTGTCCTTGGGTTGGATCACCGACGTCCATGCTCCTCTGTGTATAACATTAGTAAGCTCACTATTACCCCTCCACAACATTGCCGTTATTTGTCGTTTGAGGGACCGCACTGCTTCTTTGCTAAGCACCCATATTGCAGATTCGTACCAGAGGGCGGCCAACACCACACTGTTAATCACTAGCGCCCTACCGATTAAGGAAGTATGTTTGTCATTCCAGTGCGCCAGCTTCTCTAGAGCAGGTTTGCGGATCCAGTCATCGTTCGATGCCGGTTTTCCTGTTGCCGTCATGTCAAACCTATTTTAGAAGTGAGAAAAGTCAGAATCTTTGGAACCACACAATTAGTCTCATCCATTATACCAAAGAGTCGTCAAGAAACCTTAGCTCCTCGGTGGATTCTTAAAGGCGCCTTGTGGAGATGACGTTTGACAAAAAAAAAAAAAAAAAGTTTAGATTAATCTTGATCTGCTGAAATACGAGATGCTTTGATTTGAGAAATGCCTTCTTCTGGAAGGAAGGAACTTCAATTTTTGGCCTGTTCTACCAAATGATGCTTGGCCTTCCGCATGTTCTCAGTTCCTCCTTGTATATATATATATACATATACTCTTTTAAAGGAAAGAGTGGGTCTCGCATAACGATCCCATGCAAGATCTGCAGCCACTGTTGTCACGGTTCTGAGGCGGGCCCAACGTGCGTTTTTTTTTTTTTGGTTTGGTTTGCCACGACAAGCCGAGGGAGACCCCGTTGTGATTCCGTCACCCACGCCACTTATGTTAGAGTACAGGTACATAGCAACACTCTGGCGAGCGGTTTTATTTTTTTTTTATTTATTAAAAGGGCGATGACCTTAGAGTATTTTCATCGGACTAACCAGCCCGGGGAAATTCAATAATGTACATAGCAACGCTATGGCGAGTTTCCTTTTTCCCCCCACAGAGCGTCGGCCTTGACATAATGCCCTACATGATTGAGGGTATACTCGCACAGGAATGGATCTGACCGCAATTACGGCGAGGCCAGGTTAACTGCAATGACCTCCATAGTTTTGTGGAGAAAGCCCTCGTATGAGCTTAGGGTCTAGCTCCGCTAATCACAACATGCGCAAACTGAGAATGAATCTCCCACTACAGCGTCGAAACATACACCGTCACAATTTTTGTCTTTCGTGGATGTGGTGAGGAATGGCGCTGACCA